CTCTTTACCCCAGTCAGTTATCCTCATATTATAGTAAAGTTTTTGTGAGGGGATTTATTTGCCCTTTGAGAAATGAGCTTAAGATAACTATGGGATATATCCAGGAGGATATCTAGTGGCAACTGATGGTGCTTAGGAGAGAAACACCTATGTACTGTATACAGCGGCAATAAAGTGAACCTTTGGGAGTCGATGAGAGATTCCTTTGTAACATTGTTTTGTAGGACCAAGTGGTAATTACGTGTAAGGATTGAGAGGCTGTTACCAACATGAGAGATTTGTTCATTATCTTGTAGGTCTTTTCTGTGCTAGACTGAGTTCCAAGAACTGACGTTAATCTGTTGCTTTAAGGGCTGACTTAACAAAGTCTTTTCCATGCATTGTCCGATTTGATCCATTCAGCAGTATGGAGGCAGGTACAGTGTCGCGCTCCTTTGATGCCAATCACACAGAGGCTCAGAGAAGTTGTTATTTTTAGTGGAGGGCAGGTTCAGTAGGAGTGTGTGGTGAGATGTGGCAGCCACAACATCTCTTGCCATCTTTGACTGCCTTCCAAACTTGTGTAGTGTCCAGGAGTCAGGAGGTTGATAGCCCTGTGGTACTGGAGTGTTATCTTGAATTCTGGGTATTTTCTTTGAGGAAGGACATTGATAAGCTGAAGGGTGCTGAGGAAGGGGTCCAGAATGGTCACAGACTGAACATATGCGTGTATCATTTGAGGGAATGAGTTGGATATTTAGCCTGAAGAGGGAAAAAAATTTGGAGTTAGGAGAGAGGGGGAAATGTGAACTCTGCCAAATGTTTTGACGGGCTGTCTTATAGAATAGGCATGAGACTTAGCGCCCTGAGGCTGGAACTAGAAGAAATGAGTGGACTAAGGAGAAACTGAGGCTTTAAACTGCCCAGTAATGGAACTATTCATAAGTGGTCTCGGTGGCTTCAAGAAGTGGTAAGCTCACCACGGTTGGAGCTCTGCCAGCCAAGGCTGGCCGACCTGTCATCAGGGATGTCGCGGAGAGAACTTGTTCAGGTCTTGGCCTTTGAGGTACTTGCCAGCTTAGAAATTCTGTGGCTAACCTATGGCCACTAGCTAGAGTCAAGGTTGGAAGGTGATCATGGTGTCTCCTGACTCCCAGGTGAGCTGTCCACCGTGGTAAGCATCAGATAACAAATTTATGTTAAGTGTTTTTGTAAGTAGTAAGTTGCTATACAAATCTGCTATTTATTGTTTATTCCCTTTTACCTTATACCACATTTAGTTGTGTTCATGGCTTATCTTTATCTCTTCTACTAGAATATACTCTCCTGGAGGGCTTATGTCTAATTCAGTTGTTCTTAAAGTATGGTTTGAGAACTGGGGGTCCTTGAAACCCTTTTAGGGGGTCTTCAAGTGCAAAACTATTTTCATCATTCTAAGATGTTAATTGCCTATTAAAATATTCCTCCCTTTTCCAACCACACATGTATCACAGCAAATTGAATACAGAAGCATTTTTGAGAATTCTGCCTTAAAGAGATTTGCAAAAATATGTAAAACAATGCCATTCTTATCATAAATTATTTTTTGTTTTGGAAAAATTGTTATTTTTTTGTGTTCTTTTCATTATTTTTAAAGGAATTTTAAAATTAGAAAATGTATTAATTTTGATTTCTAATATGGTAAATATCAATATAGATAACCCAAATGAACAAGCTTTTGGGGGTCTTCCATTTTTAAGAGCGTAAAGGGGTCCTGAGACCAAAAAGTCTAATTTATCTTTTTCTCTCCTGTGTAACAGTAGAGGCTCAATCAATGTTAATTGAATTGAATCGGTTCTTTGTTATATGAGTTGGGTGTGTTGTGCTTTTGGGCAGGGCCAGACTTGGAAAAACCAAACTTGGTCCAGACTTCTTGGCAGCCAACTTGATTATTATTGGTGTGTAATTAACTCTGGCTGGTGAGGGAGGTGGACAGAACCTGGAGAAGACTGAGAGTGAGGGAATGAGCTTGGAGATCAGAGGATTTAGAACTGGAAGGGACCTTTGAGAACAGGACTTCACCTTTTTTTTGTGTGCTGGCCTCCTTGGGCAGTCTGGGGAAGCTCAGGGACCCCTTCTCAGAGCGATGATATTAAATCCATAAAATAAAATACATAGGGTTTCAAAGGAAATCGGTGATATTGAAACATAATTTTCAAAATGTATTATTAAAAAAAAAGTTCCCTAGGTCAAGAACCCCTGTTCTAGAACACATAGTCAAAGGTTCCCTTTATTTAATTGATGAGGGAGCTGGCCCCCAATGGCTGAGTGACTGAGTAGCAGACCCTGGGCCAGAACCCAGAGCCTCCTGATCCACTGCAGAGGTCTGCCTTCCCACCTTTTAGGATTGGACCAAATGGAGTTCAGATCAGCCCGTACCTTCACAATACATTGTGGGGTCAGTGCACAGACAGACGTGAAATTTGTTTGTGCCAGAAAAGTGCTACAGGAGGGATTTTTTCTTTTCTTTCTTTTTCTTTTTTTTTAAGTTTTAATCAGAAGAGCAACGGGGGAAAAGGCTGCCTTTTTCTAGAGTGGCCTGTTATAGGAGGCCTAGAGGGCCCTGCAGCATGGGAGCTAGTGTTCCAGGTGCCTCATGGGTAATTTGTTTGAATAACTGAGTCACTTCTGAGGCCCCAAACTCTTCGTGGAGGATTTTTTCGATGGGAGTGGGGAGTCGCTGTTTTTAGGTTTATTTTAAGCTTGTGAAGGCAGGGCTCTTTGGGAAGGAATTACTCTGACCCTTTACAAAGCACTCAGCTGTTTCCTTGGTCTTGTGGGGTGGGGCTTATTTTCAGAGTAATTTTAGGAGATTTTTATGGTGGCGCAGTGAACAGAGCATTGGGTTTGAGTTCAAATTTGGCCTCAGACACGTACTAGCTGTGTGACCCTGGGCAAGTCACTTCTCCCTGTTTACCTCAGTTTCCTCATCTATAAAATGAGCTAGAGAAGGAAAAGGCAAACCACTCCCAGTATCTTTGCCAGGAAAACCCCAAATGGGGTCACCGAGAGTGGACACAACTGAAATGACTGAACAATAGCATGGGAACAGCACAGGACTGGAAATGAGGTCAACTGGATCCTATGGGGTTGGATTAGATTAGGTGTAAGGCACTTTGCAGTTCCAAGTCTGATGAGAAGATGGGAAAATGGGACCTGAGCTGGGCCTTGGAAAAGTTTTTTGATGAGTGAATTAGAAGGGAGATGACCTTCCATATGAGGAAAGTAAAAGCGGAGGTGAGAGGCAGGATTGACTTCCCAATTTTGGTGGGGGCAGTGAAAGCAAGACCCGAATCAAGCGGTCTTGTGCCATGAGCAGTGCGGGGTATTGGGCTGCATCATAGTACGGTACTGATACCAAGCCCCGATAGCACTTACCATGTGCTAGGTGCTGTCTCGTTGGATCCTCACAGCAGCCCTGGGGTGCTGGGGCTACTCGTATCCCCATTTTAAGGAGGAGGAGACAGGTCAAGTGGCCTGCCCAGGGTCACCCAGCTATTCAGGTCTTTCTGATTCCAGGCTTCGCGCTCATGATAAGGAAAGGCTAATTGGGCTCATGCTTTCTTTCCTTGTGTCCCATGAAGTAATCTGCGTTTTTCTTTTAAGTTTTATTGATAGTCATTTCTGAATTCAAACCTCCCCTTGTGACAGTGAAAAACAATTAAAAGCAAAACCCCAGGAGAGCAAGACTTTGTCTGACCCTTGACCTCAGCTGGTAGCACTGGCAGCCAGTCAGTCATGGAGCATCGATGAAGTGCCACCTGTGTGTGGGGAGTATGAATACAAAGACAAACCCCAAACCACCCGCTCCCCCAAAGTGAGGTGGCCAGGGCTGGCGAGGGTGGCTTTGGTATTTCTGCTTTCTTCCGCCTCAGTCCCTGCTATACTTGCTCGCCAGGCTTCTCTGAATTCTTGCTCGTTTGTTTTATAGAGCAGTGCTATTCCCTGGCCTTTGTCTGCCTAGACCCCGGGTGAGGGGCCCTCCTAGTTTCCAGTTCTTTGCTGCTGCTGCTGTTAAAAATGTTGTGGCATTATTGTTAATAAGAATAGCCGCCAGCATCTATAGAAAGTTTCCTCTTCTTGATTTCCTCTGGCTGGTATGCACCTCCCCATGCCCTTGGATCTCTGGGTCGGAGGGTTTGGGTTGGTTAGTCATTTTCTTAGCATAATTATAAATTGCTTACCAGAATGCTTGGCCCGCTTCCCAGCTCCCCCGCTTTGCATTCATGTCCTTGTCTTCCTATAGCCCTTTCATGACATGTCCCAGCTTTTGCTGCCTACCACATTGCAGGGTTTGAGGTGAAACCTTTAGTTTTAACTTGTATTTTTCTGATGAGTGACTGGAAACAGTCTCTTCTCTGGTTGCCAATAAGTAGCTTGCACTTTTACTTTGGAGAGTCCATTAATCAGTGGTGAGCCCTGTGCTAGGCCCATCTGGCCTCAGGGAGTTTTCCTTCTCTGGTGCAGGGAGGTCACTCTACAAGGTACCATGGCGGTGCGGGGCAGCCTGCCGGCTGGGCCTGCGAGGAGGAGCTGCTGCAAAGAGCAGGCCCTAGGGGCTCTTCTGCGTCTTCGTTGAATTCAGAGTTTTGAACTCCACCACTTCAAGTTTTATCTTTTCCTGGATTTGAAGCCTGAATGTGTTTCTCATGTGTTCCCTTCAATTAGTCACCTCCAAATGGTGGGATAATTGTAGATTACTCATTATGTGGAGGGCTGAATGAAGACTCAGAGTGTTAACTCAAAACGTAGAGGGTTTCATTTTTTAAAGCAGGAGAGAAATGAGTAGAGTAAAGGAGAAAGAGACATTCTGGAAGAAGGGTGGAGCCAGAGCACCAGGCCTGCCTGCCCAGGAACCTGGCGTGAAGGGCCCCAGGAACCGGCCTTGGAGCTTGAAATGTTTCGTCTTGCAGTTGGAAGGTGGGAGAAAGAGATGTAGCTGTCAGGAAATAAAGACACTTTTATTTTGTTTGTTTCTGTAGCAAAAGAGAAATTCCCATGCCCAACTTTACCATCCATGAAATTCACTGTCGACGAAACATCGGCATGTGCCACCTCTGCAAGGAGCCAGTCCCGAAATCGGAAATGAAGGCCCACGTGGAGCTGGAGCACAGCCAGGTAGCTTAATCCTCTTCCATATTCACAACCCAACATTGCTGTGGGCTTATCTTCAGAAAATAGACTTAATCATTCTTCATTCTCACCCTAGGTGACCTGTAAATGTAACATGAAGATGGAAAGACGGCAGTTAACGAACCACGAGGTTGGTACCCTTGCCTTCCAGGGGGAGTCTGGTGCTTTGGGCCTCACTTGGTCACACAATGTTACTTGCACTTGCAAAGCAGCCCCTGCTCCCGTGGCCTCTTCCACCTTGCCAGGCCTCCTCTGCTGTCAGGGGACGGTTGGTTCAGCTTTGGTTCAGTTGGCCCTGCTAGGAGCAGATGGCCAGGGCTCTGAGTCTGCCTTCAGAACTCCAGGGCTCTCATTTGCTCACTTGGCTGGCCCCTGTGCTCATCCGGGCTGGTGGTGGACAGTTTTGCATGGACTACTCTTTGGCACAAGGCCTGGCTAATATCTCATCACTTCATTCTGACCTACTGGTTTCTCACATGTTACTTACGCCTATACAGACTCTCAAAGAGCATTTGGTGAGAGATCCCAGATCCCAGTAGGTTCAGAACTGCAGGGGAAGGAGTTGGTTAGTGGACCTCCCACTTGGATCAGAGAAGGGAGAAGCTAGTAAGGGCTGGCCTGTCCCGAAGAGTCTTGTCATGCTGAGATTCTGAAGCACCTTTTCATGGTGTATCGTGTATCTGCTCTTCTAGGGGGTTTAGCAGTGACTTACAGGACTTTATTAGCAAGCTCGTAAGCCACTTCATTCAGCGAGGGGAGATAACGGGTGAAAGTTGAAATGACCGAGGAAACAGAGGTTTCAGCTTCGGAGCATACTGATTTATTAAGCATTGTGTGCCAATTACCTAACAGATCGGGACCAGGCCCCTCAGCTTTGGCAGAGGACCCCAAATGCAGGGGGAGACCGGATTGTTAGGCATCAAAAGAAAACAATTAACAGGCTAACCAGGATACAAAATTAGGTGGTCTGATTTCTAGTTGGAGGAAAAATTAGGGACTTTCCAAGTTGGAAGGGGGAGAGCAAACAGGTGCAATTCTCTGAAATCAAAAAAAGAAGTGTCCCACTGCCCACCTCAAGTGCCTGTAAACAATCAAAGGAACATGGAGGAGCAGCTAGGTGGCGCAGTGGACAGAGCACCGGCCCTGAAGTCAGGAGGACCTGAGTTCAAATCCGGCCTCAGACCAAATACTTGACACTTACTAGCTATGTGACCCTGGGCAAGTCACTTAACCCCAGTTGCAAAGAAAAAAAAAAAAAGGAACATGGAAATAATAACTGATTAACCAGCATAGTGCCAGTTCTCAAATAAGACTTATGGGTTGCTTGAGATGTATAATTGTGAGGAAACTCCTTGCACTGATCTTTGGATTTGATTGGGCTTCTCATCATAACCTCAGTCCTTGGTTAAGGGACTGTAGGCAGCAGGGAAAGGTGGTGCAGCTTCCCGGCCACACGGGGCTGGGTTCAAACAGTGCAGTAGAGTTTTCTCACAATTCCCATAATTGATAAAGTTTTCTCACAAGACAGAAATTGGATAGACCCCTAATTGAGTAGAAAGGGAGCTGAGCTTGCTCCAGAAGTGAGTCACAAGGTGGAATCGGTGTGGTTCAGTCAGTTCCCACCACCACTTAATACCCTCAGTTCCCTCACTGGCATTAGTACTAAAGGTACGGAAGGTTTGTGAATTTGGAGCGTTCTTTGGTTCTCTCTCAGCATTGTGATTACGGATTACATAAGCTTTAGAAATAGTATTGCATTAAAATTAGAGCCTTAAGCTTCAGAGGCAAGCAATGGGTACATTCTCATCACAAAGTCCTTCATGTGTATTTTCTAATTTTAATGACCGCTTCCAGTTAAGCATAAAATTCAGTTTGTTCTTATTCACCTGTATATGTTAAGTGCTTGGAGGAGGAGCCTTTTAATGTTGGTAGAGCTGTGCACAAGTCCGTAAAGATTGTGAAATGGTTTTCTAGTCAGCAAAATCTCCCAGCTTCCTAACTCAAGCCCAGAGCAGAAGCAGTTGGTGGGAGCTGAGGCCTAGCTCAGTTCTGGTGGGTGGCCAGGTCCTTGAATGGGACCTCTAAGAGCTCTGTGGCCTGGGCCACTGAAGCAAGCCTCTGCCTCTCTGTTTGCAGGCCCTGGAATGCCCCTTGAGGCTTGCTGTCTGCCAGCATTGTGAGTTGGAGCTTGCCTTCCTCAAACTGAAGGACCATGAAGATTACTGTGGGGCCCGCACTGAGCTCTGTGGCAAGTGTGGCCGGAATGTTATGGTGAAAGACCTCAAGGCTCACCCTGAAGTGTGTGGGAGAGAGGTGGAAGAAAAGAGAGAGGCGAGAACCAGGCCTCCTCATGGCTATGAGAGTGAGGAGGACGAGGATGAGGATGATGACGATGACGAGGAGGAGGAGGATGGAGCGTGGTTCATAGCACAGACTGTTCAAAACATGCTGGGTCCCGAAAACCCCACCAGACCTCTGCAGAGGCTTTCGAGGTCCTTGGAGGATCCCTTTTTTAGCCGTCTCATAGCCGACCAGAGGGCAAGAAATCCAAACCAAGGGGCTGGGCCTGCCATGCAGCTAGACCAGAATCGAGGTGAGCCATCCTGGGCACTGGTGGGGGCAAGAGGAGGGTGTGCTCATGGGCATCACTGCAGCAGGGCAGAGGATCTCGGGAGGAACCAAGGGCTTTGGTGTTTCCTGAAGGGGGGGGTGGGGGTGGGGGGTGATGACACATGGGGCATCCTGGCCTCCTTCCCACTCTTCTCTCATGTGGTGAAGGAAGTTTCCCAGGCAGGCCTGGTAGCGGTTCTCCTTTGATGTGAAATAGGAAATGGCTGGTCACAGGTAGGGAGCTGACCCCACGGGAGTGCCTGCCTATCTCTAATGTGTCTTTCTCTGCTGGTTTTTGCTCAAGCGGAAAAACAGGAGAGGCACATGGGGAATAAAAGCCAGCTGTCCCCCCCAGTGTCTGGTGAGGAAGATGCCCATTTGGACTACATGCTGGCCCTGAGCCTGCAGAGCGAGAGCGGTACCCCCAGCAGCACAGCCGCCCACCTCGAGGACTTCTGGAGAGCCGTGTGTTCTGAAGACCTCGGCCCAGCTGCGTGTCTGGGCCAGGCCCAGGACACTGACCTGCTCTACGCTGAGCCTTTCCTAGCCACGGAGGGTCCAAAGGAGTCAAAGAGTAAGTTTAAGAAAGATAAAACTTGGACACGAGCAGGGGACCCACTTAGGGGTAACCTGTTGAAAGAACAGCAGTTGGTGAGGCACTTTGTGGCAGGTAGAGCCCAACGGAGCTCTGGGGCAGTGGCCAGTGCTTCGGGACCTCCCCCCTCTCCCCTGATGAGAATTGTCAAGAACTAGAGGGAGAGAGGGTGGGCTGGGGCACGTTGCTGACTCAGTGAATTGTCCTGTGTGTGCACGGGAAGGGGTCCACTGGCCTTTGACTTTGGGGTTTGCTTTTGCCGATCCCGAAGGCGTTATCAAGACTGAGGACAAATTAATTTCTCATTTCCTTGTGTCTCTTTGGGTGTTCTGACCACCTTCTTTTGACTGCCTTTTTCCACATCCTAGAAAAAGGAGAATCTTCTAAATTGCTGATTCCTTCTTAGTGTCATGAAAAGAAACCTCTCAGACTGAGGCCATTGGAATGGATAGTCTTACTGCCTCATCCCTACCGGCCAGAGGGACAGTTGAGAGGATGATAAATGGGGGGGCCTGGCCATGTAGAAACAGTTTGGGCGTGAGAATGGTTGTGGTGATGGGCCAGTGGTGTGAGACCCAGGGGGTCTTTGGTAAAGAGGGCATTAGAACACCTAGTGGGATGGGGGCCAGGTGGAGACAGGCATGCTCGGCCTTTCTGCAGGTGATGAGACCATGCTGCCTTGTGAGTTTTGTGAGGAGCTTTATCCTGAGGAAGACCTGATTCTTCATCAGGTACGTTGTGAGGGGCAGCACCAGTCACTGGCACGGAAAGGGGCTCCTGCCTGGGCGGTGGGGCAGGGAGCCCATTCTCTGTGGCTCAGCACTGGATGTCATTGGTGGCTTGCCAACACTTATTAAATGCCTACTGCTTACAAGAGCGTTATGTATGCTGTGGGTGTCCCCTGAGGACTGCATGGGGGTCCTACCCAAAGGGGGCGGGGCAGGTAAGACATGACTCGTCCACAGTGTTAGAAAGGTAAGCATTCCAAAGAAAGTGCTGGGTGTGAGAGTTGAGTTAGGTCATTCCTGATGGGGAGGAGGTTGGATTGCCTTCAGTGGTTAGTAATGAGCAAGCATTAGGGACCTACTGTATGCCAGGTGCTGGGGCGAAGGGACAGAGACAGGAAACAAGTCTTGCTCTTAGGATGCTTGCTTTCTATTAGGAGAGACATTGTAATGTACATGTTTTTGTGTGTACACATTCAGCTCAAGATCATAGGTCCTTGGGAAAGGGGAAAGCGCTAGCATTTGGGTAGCAGAGAAGGAAGGGCGTCTTGTAGAAAGTAGAACTTGAGGGGATTCTGGGAGGCAGAGAAGATGGGTGTTTCTGACAGAAATAGGGAAGCTTAGAGAGGAATGAGCTTGGAAGAAAGATGAATGCTATTTTGGACATGCTGGATTTGAGATGTCTCTGGGACATCCCGTTTGATATGTTTCCCAGGTAGTTGGTGATGGGAGACCAAAGCTCTGGGCAGCCCTGGGAGCTGAGCCCTTCTTTCCAGACTAGGGCTCATGCATAGATCTGAGAATCCTCTCTATAGAGACAGCTGATGAGGTGACTGAGAGGGTCTAGAGAGAAAAGAGAAGGCTCCACGACAGAACCCACAAGGGCTGGGCTACGGTGATGGGCCTATCATGACAACCCAGGAGGGAGAACTCAGAGCATTCTGGAGGAGGAAGTAGTTAGTGGGAGGTCAGAGGGGGAGGACTGGAAAAGAGGCCTCCCCTCTGGCGATTGGGAGGATGAGTGGTAGCTCTAGAGCGCTGTGTCTGGGCAGTGAGATGGTCAGGAGCCAGATTGGAGGCTGGTTTGAGGAGAGAAAGTCGAAGGATGACATTCCAGCCATAGGTTGTGGGGTGGATGTTAGGGATGCAGCGGCCCCACCTTGGCACAGTGACGTTCCAAAGCACGTCCAGCGGGGGGTGGGGCAAAAAAAAGCCTTGGTGGGAGCCAGCCTTGCAGTGGGGTGGGTCTCTAATCACCAAATTATCTTGCATTCCCTGGGGTGACTGATCGTAACCTTCCAAATGGCAGACGGGCTGTAACCCTGCAAGTGCCCTGGCTTCCTTCAGTAAGAGAAGCTCTCCCCCACGCCTGTCCCAGGACCAAGGGGACCGCGAGGACCGTGAGGACCCGCTTCAGAGGTTCCTGGACCTGCCAGCCACACGGGCTGTCAGCAGCAGGTTCCGCTCCCTGTTGGGTCTGCCAGCTGCGCCCTCCAGGGAGAGCGTCATTATTCCCTGTGAATTCTGTGGCATTCAGTTAGAAGAGGAAGTCCTTTTCCACCACCAGGTATGGGGCTTTGCCGGTTGCAGTCATGTGGAGACTGGACTTGAGGGTTAATGGGAAGGGAAGTCTTCCTGGACTCTGGGCCGTTGGTTAGCTCCCCGGTTAGAAGTCCTGGTCCTTTTTTTCTGGCTCATTGAGCCAGCGCTACTGGGCTGATGCTCAGTGAGCCCACAGATTGGCTAGCTGTGACCGTAGCCGGGATCGGGTGAGGGCTTCAGGATGGCGATTTTGGATGGTGGCGCTGTGGGGCTGAGCTTGGAGGTCAGCGTGTTTAATCTCAGAGGTCTCCCTCCAGGAGAGAAGCCGGTACAGGGGATCTCTCCACTCACCAGCTGTGTGGCTTTGGGCCAGCCCTTTGCCCTCTTTGTGAACCATGATGAAGGAGGAGAGCCTTGGGCCTCTCCATGGCCCTTTGACAGCCTGCTGGTTCTGACGTTCTTTGGTTCTAACCTTCTAGTGTAGCAAATGGGCTTCCTGTCCGGACTGATTTTGTTCTGAGAACTAGCAGTAACAGTGCTGCTCAGAGTACTTTAGTGAATGGACCCTAGCCCATTCCATAGGAAAATGCGTCTATGCAATATGCATCAGTTTTATCTTCTTAGTGGAGGCGTTTGCTTTTGGCCAAAGACCCACTCAGGGACATTCTAAGGCTGTTTGCTTGTTGCTGCGTCCTTGTGGCAGAGGATGAAATTCGCAGATAGACATCCTCCGGCAGAGATAGAAAATGCAGTTAGCTTCTTTCCCAAATTCCCTGGCCCTGGTCCGAGGCAGGTGGGGAGTTCTGTAAGGGAAGAGCTGGAACTTGGCTTGCTACGTCTCTCAGGAGGATGGTAAGACCTGCTCAGTGTGGGGCGGTTGGCATTCCTGCCCTGGATGGGGCGATTCTCTTTTGTGTTGACTCCTTACACTGCCTTGGGCCCATTCTCCAGCTTCTACCCCAGAAAGAGGCTTTTTGTGAGCAGGAGAGAGTTCCCTTGTCTAAAAAGGCCTCCTTTGGGTTTCTGTTCTTAGGACCAGTGTGACCTCCGCCCGGGCACTGGCGTCCCCGTAGAATGGCTGCTTCCCGACTGTGAACCACTTCCCAAACAAGACAAGTTGCGGCTGGAGAAGCCCCCGCAGGCGCCCAGGCGGCGGATCAGACACCAAGGTATCAGCCTGGTTCCTCCCTTCTCACTTTCTGCTCCAGAGGAAAGAGCGACCAGGACCTCCGACATGGCACACATGGGCCTCGTGACCCTTCATCTTAGATTGAGGGGTAGAGGGTCCTGCCTGCAGGCTTTGAGCCCACGATGGACCTTCACTTCTTCCTGTGTATATTAACTTCTTGAGGAATTCTCTGGGCTTGGAAGACCATGCCAGCCTATTTGGACTAAGAACATCAATTCTTTTTTTTCTTTTTTCAAAATTTTTTAGTCAATTAGGGTTAAGTGACTTGCCCAGGGTCACATAGCTAGTAAGTAAGTGTCAAGTATTTGGTCTGAGGTCAGATTTGAACTCAGGTCCTCCTGACTTCAGGGCCGGTGCTCTATCCTCTGCACCACCTAGCTGCCCCTGTCAATTCATTTTTAATGATTTTGTACTAATCCATGAATGAGGAGGTAAAACTGCTTTAGAAATAAATTTTAGAGGAAAATACAATGGGCTTTGTGTCGGGCATCACTGCAGCTCTTGTGTTAATATGTGAGAGTTAATTCTGCTTTCTGAACAAATCCATAGAGCTGGCTGGCTTAGGAGTAAGGAGGCCCGGGGCAGAGGGGGATCTAAGCAGCCTTTCAGGCTGAGACGTTGACCTCTTAACGGGCATTATCTCAGCTGAGCACTGGAGAGATTTAAAAAAAAAATTAGTGTCTTCTGTTTTTGTATCACCTAAATTTCCCTTGGAGAATGGTCCCAGGTTCCCTTGCTGGTTCTGGCTCTGACTCCCAGCAGCATGGGTCTTCTTACATCACTGATGGTCTTCCTCTCCCCTTTCAGGAGACTTGTCTTCTTGCTATATGGACGACATACGGCAGGAAGCAGCCGGCAAACCAAAGTACCCCCTGCCCCCCAGCAGGTCCACGAGCAGCATAGGGCTTACCCGAAACAGACTGCCTAAAGCTGCATTGGACCCTCGGCCCGGGGTGCTGTCCAGCCCTCCCCGCGTGCTGAAGGCCAGCAACTTGGATAGCTTGGAGACAAGAGGCCAGAGTCGCAGGAATCACAGCCCCGCCATGGGGCCCATCCCCGCCATTCGGCCTACTCGAAGTTTATACCCTGAGAATTATGTGCCCAGTTTCTCCCGGGTACCTCCAGTGAGACATGGATCAAGGTAGGTAGTAAAGAGACAGTGTTAGCTGGGGGTCCTCTGTAGGAGACCCCCTAGGAGAGCTGACCTGCCTCTGGTAATGGACCTCTGGTCACCTCTCCACCTCTCCAGTTGTACAAATGACCACTCACCTAGAGCAGTAAGGAGCCCTGCTGGAAAGTAGGCTTCCTTTTTTCGTAGCCTGCAGGCAGGTGGACAGCTTCCACAGGGCTTTCCCCCAGAACGAGGCTTTTTAGTCTCTCCCAGCTACTCCTTCGTCCCTTTCTGCCCGCACTAGTCCCCGAGACCTTAAGATACTCAGGGAGGTGGTTTCCAATTCCTTTTCCTGGCCTTTCAGTGTAAAGAATGAGGTTGGAAGGAACTCACGGATTACCCCTGCTGCCGCCAACTTCCGAAACAGGACCACTAAGGTAACCTGGGATCCAGCACTGGGCAGGCCTCTCCCCCAGGGGGTACCTGCCCCGTGACCAAGCAGTGCTGGCTTGGCAAACCTTCCCCTCAAGGTTGGTGGGGAGGGTCCGGGCCCCTCTTTGGGCTGGTGAGCACCTTCTCCTGTGGGCTCTGCTTTCCCACCAGCATTCCAGGGGAGGGCAGCCCTGTGGGTACCAGGAGGATTGGGAAGAGGCAGAAGGGAGGGGCCACTCAGGAACGAAAGGTGATCGCATCTGCTGTGTGGTGTTTCCGCAGACAAAATCTCCTAAACCAGCGGCTGGTGATGCTGAGGAAGAGGAGGAATAGCCTCAGGGCTGGAGATGTTAGCTTGGTTTGACCCTTCTATGCACAGCAGCGCCTGCCCTGGTGCAAGATGCTGGCTCTCTGATTGTTCCAACAGAGAACCTCGTATGGATTTTAATTTTTCTAGGCAGCCTTCATTTTCTAACTTTTTACACTGGGAAGCGGTCAGAGTGGGGAGGATCGTTCAGAGCCCAGGGAGGCCGGCCTAGTCAGACTTCCATGTCTGCCTGTGGGCTGGGGCCTTGTCGAGGTCGAGAAGCCCCTCGGTGAAAGGCTTCCCTGTCCCACGAGGCCCCGTCTCCTTGCAGTGTTGTGGGGGTGGAGGGTGGGTAGTGGCCCTGGCCAGTCATCTCCTTCCTGCCTTCTGTGCTGTCTGTGAAGTCATTCTCCTGTTGCCTGAGGGGAGCTTGCTCAGTGTTTTTTGGGGCTTTCCTGTAGCCAGCTGACCTATATGCTCCTGTTCTCTGTGCTAGCTTTGAAATTCATGTCCTGAACAGTAGACTTCCCTTGGGTCAGGGAACTCCAGTGAGGGGGATGTTGGGTTTTGGCCAAAAGGGGGAACCAACCACCAACCTTGATGTTTTCACTTCGAGGTGCTGGACCTCGGGGACTGGTGTTAGGCCCACCAGCGCAGCTCCTTCCTGGGACTTGAAGAGCATTGCCCCAGGGGCGTTCGGGGGTGGCCGTTCAGGAAACCTTGTCATTGGTTCCCTGATAGGGCTGCTTGTCTGTGAAAATAGCCTATCTCACTGGAGCCGCAGGGTGGACCTGGGCCCCCTGCAGAGTGGTGTTCTCACCCCCCCCCCCCGCCCCCAAGCAGTTCTGCAGGTTGGCTCTGAAAATATTTTAATTTCAGAGTCCCTTGTTTTTTTTTATTTTATTTTTTTCCTTTTTAATTTTAATTTTTTAAAGTTCCCTATAATAGAAATAAAATTTGTACTTGGAGCACAGCCTACCTGTGATGTTTCCTGTCTTTGGTGTATTGTGGGGTCAAGTGAATGCTGTTGAGTTTTCCTCAAAGAGGGAGGGATGAAGGACCACTTTTGTGCCCCTCCCCCACGACAGCATGGGGTGACCTTTGAATACAACGTTCAAGCTTGGGCTTCCTCTTTTGCTAACTAGGGGCTGTGCACATGACTTCAGCACAATCCTGGTGGGGCCTACCGTGCCCTCGTTGATGCCGTCCCATTCTGAGAAAACCCCTTTCTCATACGTGTTCTTGCCAAGCAGTGTAAGTTAGTAAATGGGTCAGCTGCACACCCCCCCCCCCATAAGAAGTACTATGTGTCAGGCATAAGCACTTTACTGTCTCATCAGTCCTCGTTACAATTGGGGACACTGAGGCAAATGGTAAAGTGACTGTGTCACACAGCTAACGAGGCTGGGCTTGAACCCGGGTCTTCCTTACTCCACACTTGAGTCTCCTCCTAGGAGTCTGAGACATTGAGCACATTTAGGCCTGGGGGCACATCAGAAGGAGAGGAGTAAGGGGGTAGCTCTTCTAGGCAGTGGTCCGAGCTGATGGCTACGAGGCCTCAAATAACGACATTTTAAGGACACATCCACCAAAGTAGGCATTTATTAAATACAAGAAATGCAGATTAAAGAGATTTAAAACAAGTGGCCCTGTGCCTGATGGGGCAGGGCCTGGGGGGGGATCTTCACACAGGGAGCTGGGGGCCTGCTGTTCGAATGTTCTCTGTACCGAGTAGGGGTTGGGGAGTGAGTGAAAGCGATCTGAGGTTGCAGGCCAAAGGGCTCATGCAGAGGCGGGGCTCAACTAGCTTTTTTCCCTTTTGTACAAAATATTTACACTTTGTGTGCAAGTAGGTAGAAATGCAGCAGAGTGGTTATGACCAAGCCTCCTGGGTGCACGCCCAGAGGTGGTCTGATTCTGCCTAACGACCAATGGGGCTGCCCCTTAGGTGATGCTGGTCCTGCCAGGGCCCACAGATGGAGGCCTACCCCGGGACCCCCTGGGGAGTAAATACAGTTGAAGTGCAAAGAAACCATGATGATTCAAAAAATTTTTAATTCCAAGCCATCTGGAGGCAGTTAAATCGTGTCAAAGCCACCAAAATACATCATTCTCTGTCAGTAACATTCTTGGAACTTGTTCTCAGCCAGAATCGACAATAACATGACTTCAGAGAAATCAAAATCAGATGAAGGTTATTTATTGTGGACTTGGATACCCGGGACATAGCACGGGCCCTTCACACAGCGCCAGCGTGTAAAGAGCACTGGGTCAAAGGAACCATAAATAAGGATAATAAATACACGCCGTGTAACGTCTGGCCCAGGCTGGGGATGTCCACAGGCCTCTGGGAGGGGGAGCAGGACGTTAGCAGCAGGAATCTGACTTACTCACAGCTGTCATTCAGGTGGGGCCATGGGATTGGCAGGAGCTTCCCAAACCCCAACAGGGGAGGTAGCTACAGAATTTCAAGTCCGCTCAAGGAGTGGATGGAAAGGGGGACCACGAAGAGCAGCGATGACAACTTACTCGGGAGCCGTATTTAACAAGCCACAGTGGGAGCAGACAGACAGGGCGCTGAGGGGCAGCAGCTCGGTCCTGCTGTGGTTCCCCAGCTGAGGTCGTAGCCAGAGGGGTGGGGGGGGTGGATGGCGCCCCGCCTCCCTCCCCTCCAGGAGGCTCCAGCGACCTGACAACGCATTCACTTCAGTAGTAGAGATTAGTCCTAGACTTTATTTTAGAAGACTGGAGAAAAGGGGGTCTATATATGCATATATATATGGATGTATAAAATGGTCATTAATACGTTTGTGAAGAATAACAGGGTGGTGACGTAGCCGACAGCTCTAACCTGTCTCCGTTCACTCGGAGGGGAGCACAGACCTAGCCCACACAGGGAAAGAAGGGGCTTCTCCTCTCAGGCACACGTGTATGTGCCGAAGCCCTCGAGACCTCGCACTCAGAGCTCCCGCTATTCACAAGAATATACACTAAATACAGCTTTGCAATTCGGTGAGAACCGGCAAGGCCCAGAGTCGAGTATCCAGGGGGAGCTGAGAGCACTCTACCCCACGACCACGGAGGCCAAGCTCCCCGTGGGAGGGGGAGGCAGCGTGGATCTGATGGCAGATGACAAATGTCCAGTGGGTAGCGGAGACTCTTCCCTAGTGTCCCGTGCCCACTTTGGTGCACCGAGGTTCTGTCCCACTATGGGACCTGCCTCTGGGGGCCAGCGGGTCCCCGGTCACAGCCCCAGGGGTCGGTGGCCTGACTACAAACTCCCGATTTGGTACCTCAAATCACCTTTTTCAAGGTGATGGATGTGTGGCCTGCTTCTTCCTGTTCCAAGTGTCCTCCTTTCAGGACAGGTGTGGGGGAGAAGGGCCATCCTGGAGCACAAGAACAGGGAGCCGGAATCGGAATTGTGTGCTTGGTTGTTGCCCTCGGGAAGAGGCCCTTCCGTCGAGAGGGGACGGTGGCCACTCGACCCGGCCGGCTGCTGAGGCTTCCGCCCCCAGAGTTCCACGGCAGCCTGTCCACACTTGGGCTGACCTCTGCTGACTTGGGGGGAGGCGGGGGGTGGGGAAGGCCCCTACCAATGACTGACTGCACTGTGGCTGCTTTTTCAAGGGCAGATAGAGGACTCCGGAAGAGCCAAGGAAATCCACACGTCCTCTCGCTTCTCCAGCCTCTCAGACCAGCTCAGTTACTGGCTAGCTGGCCTCAGCAGTTTGCAGGGGATGCAAGTTGCAGAGTGGAATGGTTTGTTCGGCACAGGCCCCGTGGGTCCACTGAGGGAGGCCGGGGGCGGGGCTGGGGCAGGAGGAGTCTGGGCTGGCTGGAGGCAGTGCTGGGGACTGCGCCCCTCACCAGTGGCCTCTGTCTGGCTGAGGCTCCTGGGCTCAAGTAGCTGGATACCCAGATCCGGACTCCTTGTCTGGGGAGATCAAATCACACATCAAACTGTTTGGTACTAAACTACCCTACAAATATTCCACAAATGAGTGAGGCAGCCAAAGAACCACTCCAGCACAAAACTGACAAGTACAAAAGGCGGTCTTCTGGAAGGAGAGGACACGGCAGGCCGCAGAGAAGCCCCGTGTCCCAGCTCCTCCCAGGCACTGCCCCCCAGGTGGGCTTCCCGGGCTGGCGGGCTTCCCCGCGGCCGCTCCTCGCGCCTCCACATGCCCTGAGGCGGGCTCTCCCCCGCCACCGCTCAGCCACTCAGGGGGTCCTCCCGGTAGTGAATGGCACAGCGCAGTTTCTCCAGCATGGTCTCCAGCGACGAGTACTGGGGCAGCTTGATCATGAACATGCAGGTTTCTACGCGGATGTACCGAGAGTCCGGGGAACCTGTGAAATAACCGGCCACAGACCCTTATCAGCTCCCCAGAACGGGAGGAGGACGGCCTGCTGGGCGGGCACAGAAGCTCGGCCCACCAGCCTCCCGCCCCGCCCCAACCCAGTCCCTGAGTGGCCCACGGTCACTGAGGCACAAGAGGAAGGAGAGAGCAGTGACAGTGACTGGGCTTGGAAAACCCCCTTCCTAGGGGCCAAGCTGGGGGATGATGGGAGCAGGCTGGATCATTCAGCTGGATTAGCCCAGGGCCCAGCTTCCCTGCCTGGAATAGGACACATGCATTCTGGCTCCAATGCCTTCACTGGAGTGCCCCAGGGGAAGGAGGGTACCTGCAGTGCCATCTGGGGGTGCAATCTTCATGGGATATGGGGGGACATGGGCAGTGTCAGGACCCCCATCTTTGCAGGGACAGGTGAAAGGGATCCGTTCCTGGTTGCAGGCAAACTTGATGAATTTGCAGAGTTCCTCCTGAGCAAACGTCTCCAATGCACCCCAGAAAAACTCAATGTGCTGGTCAGTCTCCATCAGCCCCACTTGGTACATGGTATGAGCCTGATAGGGAGAGAGAGAGTCAGTCACCCTGTGATGTTGAGGCGGGCGATCGAGAGGCAGGGGATTGTCTGGGAAGAGGGGTCCGCCCTCCTGCCGTGACCCCCAAGTGGGCCGCTGCCAACCCCCGCGCCTGGTCTTAGTGTTTTCTGCACAATCTAGGAGGTCCTGAAAACGGGCAGAGGGAGGAGATGCCTTGGCTGATGATGTCCAGGGAAGCAGCCCCCAAGAGGCTAGGCAAGACCCACCCCCGGCCCCAGGACATGACTGAAGTACAGCCCTGGTTTCCTGCCTTGATAGCTCTGCTCCTGGTGCATCCGGGAACGTTGCCCTTCCCTCTTCTCCCCCATCTCCCTGACCAATAAGCCTCTCTCCAGACTCTGGCCCTGCCTCCCCTCAGTAATCATGTATGCAAGTCCCTGTGTGGGCGCTAGGGGGCGCCACAGTGCACAGAGCGCCAGGCCTGGAGCAGGGAGACTCCTCATCCGAGTTCCAATATGGCCTCAGACACTTAACCCTGTAAAATGAGCTGGAGAAGGAAACAGCAAACCATTGCAGTATCTGCCAAGAAAACCTCCAATGGGGTCACAGAGAGTCACAGCAGCCCCACCACCACAACTGCATTAGGCACTGAACTCTGCCGATGCAGGGACGGCAGCATTTCCCATCTCTGTGCCACAGGCACTCGATGGACATTTACCTAATTGAAGAGCAATGCCTTTGTTGGCCTCCACAGAAGATAAACTGAGGCGCAGGGCCTGTCTGGGGTCATCTCTTTTCCCTCTACTCTCTTACTTGATGACTTTATCTGCTCCGGCAGGTGATTCTCAGCCGTCTCCCCAGCCCCAGGCTCTTTCCTGAGTTCCCACGTCACCAACTGCCTTTCAGACTTGGATGTCCCACAGACCTCTCAAACTCAGCATGGCCAAAGCAAAACCCATCATCTT